CCCCAAAACCCCAAAACCCCAAAACCCCGTAATGCTGAAATGTAATATCTTGGAATTATATCATTAATTATAGAAAGAAATAACGTTAAAAAGAATATGAAATCAATAGGAATTTATACTATCTAAATCTAATCAATGAACTTGCTATTAATTTTTAATACTTCTTAATAATAGTAGTTTATCAATATTTCTGATTTTACTATGTAAGAAATGAAAATCTCTTTCATTTGTAGTTTCTTGAGGTGTAATTTATATATTTGCTGTATCATCCAATTATTAAATTGCTGCTTGATCATAGCAAAAATTTAAATTATCATCCTTAGTGTTATCTAAGTTTTCATAGACTTCATTAGCATTAGAATTAGATATTTTAGGCTTACCTTCTTTATCCAATGCTTGAAGCTACTATTTAGATTTAGGACTTAGAAACATACTTGTTGATATTGACCTGTTAAGATTATTGATCGAACTTTGAAAATTAAATTATCCAAATTAGCCTGATAAATTCTTTGCTTATTTATTTTTTGCTAGCTTTTCTTTTAATCTTTATATTAACTACTTGATAATTGGTCTTAATTTTTCTGAAAGAGAATGCCAGGTTTAATAGAAGAAAATCGCAAAATTAATCAATACATTCAAGAGAATGATCGCAATCAAAATAAATCCAGCATCATATCTTATCACTGCATCTATCTCATGTCCTTCAGCTAATGGAATTAATAAGTTAAATATTGAATAGAGGCAGAACTCATTGAAAATTTCAATAATGTTATCTCCTTAATTAATAAATGGCTTGTATTTTAGTATATATAAAATCAGAGCTAAACTAGCATGAACCTAAAAAATTAACTAAACTACAGAGAGATCTTTAATAAATGCTACAGCAAAAGCAAATTAGAGTCATCAAAGTAGGAATGCAACATTGAATAAATAACTTATATTATCTGAAGTTTTTAAATTACTATAAAATGATCCATATTTTTACTTGAATATTTCCTGATCTAAATTTGATTTGTTTTCCTTCAGACCCATATAAATAATTGCAGGTAGTAAAATTGTAAGGATAATTATAATTGCTGAAATAGCTAATGATTTTCCTTCTACTTGACCATTGTAAACAAACTGTAAAAATGTTGAATAAAAAAATTATTATTACCAATTAAAATGGAATAAAACCACTAATCATTAATTTCAAATAGCTTTTATTGAGATATGTAATGAAAAATCCAAATCTGAGTTAATTTATCAAATTTCCAACAGCATTTTTAATTCTAAAATTATCATGATATTAGTTATCTTATTTACTTTTCATTTCTTGATAGTCTAATTATTAGAAAAATCATCAGCACCACAATTAATCCCAATATTAAGCTTATAATAATGTATCCAACACCTTAAACGATATCATCATTATAACTTGACTTGGCTAAGATATTTTGAGCATATTCGTTTAATTTGAAAAGATATCCATTTCTTGAATATTATTGCCTATATCACTTGAAACAGAGGATACTTAGCTGAATATAGATTTAACAAGGCCGTCTGGTATAAGTTTTAAATTTGCTATTTCAGTCACTATTTTGAGACAGACAATAGCGTTTCCTGGTATGTTAACACTAAGCAAGGGTAAAGCGGTTACTATCTGAAGGTTAAAATATTTATAGATTCTTTACTTGCAGAAAATTAATTAACTGCCAAATTTGCTTTAGAGCAACTCCCAAAAATACAGACAGAGCCAGATTA